GAGAGAGAGAGAGAGAGAGAGAGAGAGAGAGAGAGAGAGAGAGAGAGTGTTAGTTAACCACATAGACACATGCATACTGGATGAAGCAGAAATGGGTTACACCTCCACTTTATTGTTGTTTTTAGTTTTTATACCTTCTCAGGATAATTGATAAATGTGTTTTTAAGCATTACATATCATATGTTCATAGTAAGTTTAAGGCAACCGTTCATGTCATAGGTTAATAAGGCTTGGGGAGTTACAACAGAATTGTTTATGTCTTACCATCAAGGCTAGTACCTGACTAAACATTAATTATGTATTTTTGACTCCACAAGTTCATCATAAGTTTAAAGCAATAGGGTTATTTTTGTTTGTTTGTTTTGTTAAAGTAATAGTTTTTATGTCACAAGTTATTATAGCTTGTCAAAAGACAAAGTATCTGGCTTGTGTCCTATTATTTTGAAGTTTTGTATAGATAGACTAGTCCATCATTTATTTTCTGTCCTTGTACCTACAATAAATTGCCCATTTCCAGTTTATGACCTGTAGTTACCAGAGAGTGACCTCATTCCTATCTTAGAAGGAATGTTTTCCTTGATTGTAAATTTGTTCCAAGCCTGGTTTCTTTTCCTAGTGTAATTAACCCATGACACATGAAGGTTTACAGAGCTCTATTTACAGCTTTTATTCTATAGGGGGCTTGAAATTACTTGTATGAATTTAGGAGTTCTATAAAATTATTATCGGGAATTATGAAACCATCAATTCATCTACACAGCGTTACTACATGAAAGTTCATCTTCATATTGATTCTGCAGGAAACTTACCCAACAGGGTGGGCTGATGCCCCCGAATCATTAGGCTATGTGATAGTGACAGGAAAGGCAGATCAGCAGTGAGAAGCAATCCTGGGCTGAAGTCTCTGAGGACCCTGAATCTCAGAGCTCACCCATTGCAGCCATGCAAAATGGTGGGCCATCTCCAGGAAACTCACTTGCTTCCCATAGCCTTTCCTAGATGGCTTCTGACACACAGGATTCTGGGATCAGTTTCCAACACCACACGAAAACAGGCATAGTGATGAATGCCTGTATTTTCAGCATTCGGAAGACTGAAAAGGAGAGACTGCGGATAAAACTCAATGGTAGATTAATTGCCTAGTGTGCGTGAAGCCTTATATTCAATGCCCAGTTACGTATATACACACATAACACACACACCCACTCACACACACACAACACACATCCACTACATAACACACACCCACTCGAACATTCATACACATTCACACACATACATGTTCACACCAAACACACACATATACACACATACTCATACAAGATATACACATCACATACTTACTCACACATGTTCCACATAAACACACATCATGCTCACACCTACACACCCAGCACACCATACACAGACACACATCTTACAGTACACACACACACAACACACACACACAAGAAAAGGAAAAGATAGGACCACAGACTGCCTAGTGGCTGGGTCAGTAGAGCTAGCGGAGCCCTCCTCACAGTGTGCTTACAATGCCCTTCAACTGGTTGCCTTCGGCTGAGTCTCCTTTCTCTACCTTTCTCTCCTTGCATTAAGGATATATCTTTTTTTTTGGGGGGGGGGGGTTTCGAGACAGGGTTTCTCTGTGTAGCCTTGGCTGTCCTGGAACTCACTCTGTAGACCAGGCTGGCCTAGAACTCGAACTCAGAAATCTGCCTGCCTCTGCCTCCCAAGTGCTGGGATTAAAGGCGTGGCCACCACCGCCCGGCTAGGATGAATCATTTTTAATACCTAGTGTTACTTGGCCATATCTTAATGTCACTTGGTAATATATGCCCTTCGTTGTTAAATTATTTTTTTAATTCTTAATTTAATCTCTGAAGTCATCTTGCCTTTCTCTTTATCTCCGAGACTTCTACTTGTTAATAAGATGCTGTTTGTAATCTTTACACTTTTCACATTCGTTTTTGTCTTCCTGATTTTAAACTCAAGTTTCTCTCCCACTCATTTTCTATTGTCTGTCTATCCACTTTAAGCAAATTTTTGTTTATTTTTAAAAAATTGTTCTTCTTAAAGAATCAGAATCTTAGTCTCTTGCATTTGTTTCGGCTTTCTTTTGGTTGAATTTCCCTAATTTCATTGCATATCTTTCACCATTTGCTTCTCTTAGGACTATCAAGAAGCATGGCGGTTGGGGCTGGGAGTGTAGCTCAGTGGTACAGCACTTACTTTGCATGCGTGAGGCCTGGGTTCCATCCCCAGGGAGCCTCCCTCCCCATGAATAAAAATACAGACCTGCAACAGTAGTGATGAGCTCAGATCACAAATACAGCTGCTAGAACCTGTGTCTCAGGTTACTCCACCTCTGATTGGCTGGCTCTCTTAACTTCCCATAGACAAAGCTAGAAAAGCACCCACTGAACAGCTTGGAAGCTTCATGAGGAAGAACTTTCCCGATCAGTTATTGCTCCTTTTATGTATATGGGAGCCACATAGTTACTTAGAAAAACCATTCATTGGCCCCTTGAATCATTCTGTACCTGTATAGGAAACACTGTCCTTAAAACTTCATAGTCGCCGGGCAGTGGTGGCACATGCCTTTAATCCCAGCACTTTGGAGGCAGAGGCAGGTGGATTTCTGAGTTCAAGGCCAGCTTGGAACTCTACAGAGTGAGTTCTAGGACAGCCAGGGCTACACAGAGAAACCCTGTCTCAAAAAACAAACAAACAAACAAAAAACCAAAAAAAAAAAACCCTTCATAGTCATTAGGCATGAAATGACTAGATTCAGAGCACGTTGTACTAACAACACACTTATCGGTAGGTAAGGAAAGTGAGTGGGGGACTCACGCTTAGTGAGTTGCACAGGTTTATGTCTCTCCACTGTCACTCACCAGAGAGGGTGCAGAAGGGGAGCTGACTTCTGACACTACTCCCATAGGTGCTCTGTAATGTACAGATTTGACTCTGTTCCTTTGGCAGGCACTGTTTACAGTGAAAGATAGAAACAGGAATACTCATGGCTGAATAGGAATCCTCCAAATAATGGGCTCAGCTTCCCTCCTTCACCATGCCTCCAACACTGCTTATACAGCTAGAGTCTCCAAGAACACTTGGTCCTGAGGAGAGGGGAAGGCAGGCTGTCCCTTGGACAGCAGCTTAGCTGACAGCTCAAAGAGGCATCTGCCACTGGTTTGCCTTCTGAAGAAGCAGCTCCCCTGGGGAAGTCTTCAGTGCCCCAGAGTATTTGCATCACCTCTAGTACACCTTGGATTTGCTCAGTTCTTCCTTTAGCCTCACAGAATGCAGCTGTGTGGGAGCTCTCGGCCCACGGCTGATCTGCTTGCATTGTTCTTCTCAGTGAGCTTCACTGTTTCTGCTCCTTCCACCTCACAAAGCGTTTTCTCCTCTATCAACTGCATGGTTGCCTGTTGGCCCACCCCTCTGGCTGGATCCTCCAGAGCAGGTCAGCCCACCAACCGGCCTCCAGCCTCTCTGACTTCAGCAATTACCCACTAGTGACCTATTTGTTTCACCTATTTTCATCTATTTTCCTTCCACCAGAGTATTTGACCCAGACCCCGGAACCTACAAGGAAGTTGGGTGCTGCTGTGTATATCTGTAACTTCAGCACAGGGGAAGGAGAGACTGGCAGAAAGATCCCTGGGGCTTGTGGTCAGCCAGGCTAGCTGACTCAGTGAGCTCGGGTTCTGTGGAGAGACTGGGGAAGACATTTGACACTAACTTCTGGGCACACAGACACACACTTTGCACACATATACACACACAAGCACATACACACGTGTTTTTTGGAAAGCTTTTCTTCTCAGTAGCTGGGCCCTCGTCACTCTGGTAAAAGCCTGTTTGGGCACTTAGGCCACTTAGGCTGGTCACTTAAGTCTCTGCTGCCACAGTGTCATGTAGCTCATGAAATGACAATTTCCTGTCTAGTTTTTTACTGGAAGACTGTGAAGAAGCTTTTCTGCAAAACCCAGAAGGAAAACCACGATTAATCTACCATCGAGTGGAGGATGGAGAAGCCACTTCCGACTCCGTCCAGCAGTTACTGGATCAAGTTTCCAACCTAAGCAAGACAACTAAAGCCAAGGTAAGACACAGGAAATGTCAGAGATGGGGACGGAGTCGGGGGAGATGAGAAAGGAAGTCAGGGTGTCTGCAGAGAGGGGACATACAGTAGGGGTGTCCCAATGAGATCAATCTGAAGAACCTCAGGGATCGTTTTAAGCACCTGGACTTTTCCCTTGAGTGAGGTTTGTTTGGCCTTGAGCAGAGTGGCAGGGACCAGTGTGGACCTCTGTCAGTGATTTGCTTGGTGTTGTCTGAGGAATAGAGTAGTTGGGAGGGTAGTGAGAAGCCTGAGACCTGGTGTAGACATCTACATAACAGATCCTGGGACACACACACACATGCTGTTCACACTGAATCCCTGTGTGCCCTCAGACAAGTTACTTAACTTGTCTGTTTCCTCTTCTGAACAGCCAGTTCCCACTCTAGTATCTCTGTTGTAAGGAACTCAATAAAAAAAAGTTAAAAGTGTTAAAAAGTTAAAAGTTAGCTAGTTAAAAGTTAAAAGTGACTAGCCTAAGTGGCCTAAAAAAGGATAAAACGTTAAAGTGTTAGAAGGCATGTGCTGCCCCCTCCCTCCTGATGCTGATGCTGCTCTGACTGTGTTTCCTTGTTACCACTGAATCTTTTCTCCTAGATCATTGAACACTCGGGAGATCCTGCAGAGGGAGTGTGTAAGATTTACATGGGTGTGGAAAAGATTATTAAACAGGTAAATATGCATTCGTATGTGTAAGTTTTCATCGAAAATAGCTTCATGGTAATTTTTTTAAAAAAGTTTTCCAGACAAAACTCTTCATGTGTCATTTTTGAGAACAGTACCCCAGGACAGCACCATCTCTGCTGGGAGTTGTGACTGGAATGAGAAGCTGGTATTGTCAGGATCTGCCTCACCAAGCTGGGATTCAATATCTGTTAGGTGTAAAATGTATCAGAAACACAAAAATCCAGAGGAGACAGTTGAGAACAGATGTACATTTTACTCCACAAAGAGGCCTTGGGTGTTCTTTGTGTACTTGGGATTTTTACATATTTGAGACGTCCTCCACCTTGCTATCCCTAACAGCAACAGAGAGGGCAAAGGTACCTTACAGGGGGACAGGAACATGGCCCATGGTGGCATCTAGAACTGGATTCTTTGGAATCTCGTGTATTTATATTTTCCATAGCTGCTTGTTATTATGTCTGAGATTATATTTTTGCAAAAAAAAATCATTTCAGAATTGGGTCAGCAAAAATACCAATAACTAATGTCAAAAGGCAGAGAACACCCTTATCTCCAAGTAAAATGAGCAAAGTGGGAAGGTGTACCTTGTTCACCTGATGATACCCATCTCTTCCCAGGAGCCAGAGACCTTGTCTGAAAAGGAAGGAGTTACATTGCTTTTTGTTTGGCTTTTGTTTTTTTTTAGACAGATCCTCTGAGTAACAGCTCTGGCTGTCCTGGAACTCACTTTGGAGATGAGGCTGGTCGTACTCTCAGAGATCTGCCTGCCTCTGCCTCCCTACTGCTGGAATTAAAGGCATTTGCCGTCTAATCTGGCTTCACCTTTTCTAATTAAATTGGATTGTGGTATAGCGATTTGTCATCTGAGGAGAGTGAGCCCAAAATGTAATGCTAAGGGACTTGGCTGCACATTTACATGGTCTGCAGTACAAAGACTGCAGACCAGATGCTTCTGAGGTCTCCAAGCTCACAGTGTTAGAACCAAGATAAGTAAGATGAGTGAGGACCATGAAGTCAGCCATATTTATCATCCATGTATTTTCAGTGATCCCATAGGGAGATTAAATGCGACAGCAGAGAGGCTTGACATCAAGAAACTCCGTCTCACTCACAGCCATGGTGGCCACACCTTTAATGCCAGCACTCAGGAGGCAGAGGCAGGTGCATCTCTGAGTTCAAAGTCTACAGAGCAAGTTCCAGGACAGCCAGGGATACACATGGAAATCCTCTCTCAAAACAACAATAACAACAAAAGAAAGAGAGAGAGAGAAAGAGAGAGAGAGAGAGAGAGAGAGAGAGAGAGAGAGAGAGAGAGAGAAAAGAAAGAAGTTCCATCTCAGTAATTGAATTGTATGCCTTATTTCTTCGGCATTAGTGCAGGCTTTGAAGTCATTCACTAGTAGGGCTGAAGAGACAGCTTAGTCTGCAGAGCACTTGCCCCACAGGCATGAGGCCCAAAGGAGTCCAAGTACACATTTAAAAATACCAGGCATGCCGGTGTGTGCTTGTAATCCCAGCACTGGGGAATCGGAGACAGGAAGATTCTCTTAGGCTCACCAGCCAGGCAAACCCAATTGGTAGGCTCCTAGTGACAGACTCCATTTCAAAGGAGATAAGTATTCCTGAGGATGACACCCAAAGCTGTCCTCCTGCATCCACATCTATTCACGGGCGCGCGCGCACATACACACACACACACACACACACACACACACACACTTTTTAAAAAGTCATTCACTAGCCAGATATAATTGCATCTATGACATGACATTTTCCAGAAAACAAATCCCATCAAGCACCCTGATTTTACTTCGAGAGGAACTCTTTATGTTTTTAATATTTTCATTTTACACTAGGATTCTATGGTTACAAATTAATTCTTAGAGGTACTTATAATAACTCTTCCTTACAAGCCTAAGTCCGCCCTTACTCGCCTGCAAGTAAAGCCCCGCAAATTGGCCCCAGCTTCCAGGTCTCCGAAGTTCACTTGCTTTCTTGTACTTAGGACATCCTTGGGCTCGAGAACACAGACACGGAGGTGAAGGATGGGGCCAGTGAGGATTCTACTCCAGAAGAAGATGATTTGGGGGATGTTCTGTGGGACATACATGATGAGCAAGAGCAGATGGAAGCCTTTCAGCAGGCTTCTAGCTCCGCCCATGAACTGGGATTCGAAAAGGTAAACTTCTAAGCCCTCTGTCCAGTGAAGTTCAGTGGTTGACTGGGGGGATGGCACAGCTGTTAAAGCTCTTGTCACGTAAGTATTCAGACGCATGTTCAGATGCGCAGTACGCATGTGCAAAGTCCAGAGCCGTAGCTCCCTTCTGTAACCCCAGTG